TTCATATCGTGACGTAAAAGTTCTATAAAAAATGAACTACAGAGAAATTAAAAAATCGGCCTCTGTTAAGTTGTAGCCCTACATCTTAGCTACATTTTAAAACCAACCCGAGCTCTCTAACGTTAAACATGGCAGAGAAATCTGGGACGGACGAAGACCCATTTTTGGACCTTAATTGTGAGCTAGCTCTTGATAGGTTTACTATTTCTAGCTGAAATTTTGACTGTGAGATCATCATACCTAGATATACCATCTCTGAAAGTTTCATTAAGATCGGATGCTCGTAAGCAGAAATGGATTTTTGGGTAGGGGATGGGCCTTAAGTTGTAGCACTGAGTCAGCGCTTCTTATTATAATCTTCCTGCACCTTCCAGCATTTGAAACGGCGGAGAAATCTGGTACGTACGAAGGCGTAAAAATGAAAAAACGTATTCCGAGAAAAAAGTGCAAAACAAGTTTTTAACTTCTACTAAGATTCAAGTTTTTTCTCTTCATATAGCGTAATAGGAAAAAACTAACGGTAGTTCATGATATGTTACTGGATATGGTGAATCAAATAAACGCATGTAAAGACGTGGGCGGCATCCCTAGAGAACGTACTTGATGCAAGTACTTGATTACTTGCGAAGTACTTGTCAGTGATCGAAATACTTGCCTTATTGCTAAGAAGTACTTTCTGAAAGTACTCGCCAAGTAATGACAAGTACTTACAAGTAAATTTACTTCATGAAAAAGGACAAGTATCAGCTTCATTACACAACCGGAGTACTTGGCCCCAAGTACGTTCTCTAGGGATATATTTTAATATATATAAAAGAATCAATTTTTCTCATTATGAGTGTTTCAAGAAAACCTCTCAAAAAAGCTCTCAAAGATCATCGTAAAACCAATACTAAAAACAAAAAAAGTTTTTAAGCACAGTTCTTGAGGCCATTTAAGGATCTACTCTGTTAAAAAACTTGCTAAATTTGATGTTTTACTATTTTCAATAGTCTTCATTAGGATTTTTCTCGGCTTCTCTTCAATTTTGATGAGCTAATACGTAAAAGATAAGAAAGTTTTCGGGCTTTTTAAGTTCTTTCAGTTTTGCATTGATGTTATTCGTGGCTAAAGATTCCCGTCTAAGTCTTTTTTCTATGTTAAACATGTTTTCTTTGACGAAAATCAACCAATCCGACGCCTTGACTACGCTATTAATCTCAGATCTGGGAAACTGAATATTTTGAAGGCCTGTGAAAATTACGGGCGGATTGAGCTCGTCGACATTACGTAGAACACCCAAAACGAACTAAAAATATTCTTAAAATCGAATAAGAGATCAAAAATACCTACATAATTTCCACTGTTTTCTTTATAGTAGAAATACTCAGCGGAATGTGTTGCATGAAAATGTATCACAGCTTTAATGGAAAAAATGTGTCTCAAGTGGCTCCCGGTGTCGCAGATGATTATAGCGCACATTATGTCGCAATTTGCGACAGATGTGACACATTATTTTTTAGTGTGCTGTATAATTCTATTCATAATCGTCTTCTAACACATCTGATTTCTCCGCTCACCCGTCAGCAACCAAGAATATTCATAGAATTTTATTAAAGTAACTGGTAAAATATGGTTCAGGCACCATTTGAACACATCTCTTCTTGAGAAATATCTTACCAATTACTGATAAAAAACTTCACTTGTTCGTCGACGTTATTTATTTATTGATCCAAAAAGCATATTTAACATTATCGCTAAACAGAGCTGAGCAAGTCAGAGGTTTTGCAAGTCACAAGTCAAAAAAATCAAGTGTGATTAAAAAATAAGCAGAACATAAAATTTGCTAAAGTCTTTCGGATAATGGACAGTTTTTGTAGCTTCATGTTAAAAACTACCTAATTTCAACGAAAATCTCTTGCTAGAAATGACTTGACTTCCGAAAACTTTTTCAAGTCTGGTGACGGTCACGAAAAAAATCTCTCAGAGTCAAGTCAGGTTACACCCAAAACATTTTTACGACCAAGTCGAGTCAGATTTGACTTGACTTGCCCAACACTGTCGCTGAATGCTCTGGTATTTATTATACAACTTTCTTCTACTCATCAGAGTATTGTTTTAAAAAACGACCAGTGACAATCGAATTTAAAGTGAAATCTCCATAAAGTTTGATTATTTTGACTTTTAGCCCGTATGTTAACCTGAAACAGTTTCAGTTGTCTGACAAAGATGATCATTCTCTCAGTTTGAATTCTTTTTCGTTCTCAAACAGAAGGTTGATTTATTTTGCAATGGTAAAGTTCTATTCTATCTTCAACTACCTGTTGTCCAAGAAAAGAAATTTTGTTTTCAAGTTTTCAAGAAAAAGATTCTATTATGCTATTTTTCCATTGTTTGCGTTCTTGAACTATTTTTAAATAAAAGTTAGTTTTTCTGTCCAAAATCGAGTAGTTAAATAAAAGTTAGAAAAATAAAATTTATGTTCATTGTGAAATCAAATATTATACAGTTAAAAGTTTAAACAGTAATCAACATGAACAGTGAAAATTCAAAACCGGATACATATTTAAATCATCGACGACGATCCATTGTACGTGAATTTCTTGTTTCAACATCCATTCATGGTTTACCAGGCATTGGACGAGGATATAATATTAAAAACTTTGTTTTTTGGTTAATATTATTCGTTATATTTTTGGGTGCTATGGTTTATTTTGTAACAGAAACAATTATAAATTATTTAGAATATCCGTCGCAAACAAAAGTTGAACTTGAAACAAAATTTCCAATGTATTTTCCTGCATTTACTCTATGTAACATCAGTCCTGGTCGCTCTGATTTATTTCTTCCAGCTTTTCTTAATTGGACAACTAGTCAACAGTTGTCATACATAAATGATTCAACAACATTTACAGCATATGAAGCACAATTTTTTTTACAATTTCTAATTGATCAAGTGAACAATGGTGAAGCAGATATATTAGCTACGTATTCATTTTCTTTAGACGATATGTTAATTAATTGTTCTTATAATGGTCATCTATGTAACAAATCAAATTTTATTCAATTTTCTACATCGAGTTATACATGTCATACATTTAATGCTAAAACAGAGAATCAATCAATACATTTAACAACAGATTATGGTGGAGAAGGTGTTCTACAACTTGAACTGTATATTCATGAACAGATTTATCTTCCCTATGTCACAAGTGGTTATGGAATTATAACAAAAATACATGACAATACTCAATTACCAAGACTTGAATTTGAAGGTGGTATTGCACTCGAACCCGGGAAAAAACATACATTAACATATACAAAAAAACTGAATACATATCTCGGTTCACCTTACACAAGTTGTACAACATACGTTCCAGAAGACATGAAAGCTTACTTTGAACGATATGGTAATTCTCACTATGAATATTCAAATCTTCTTTGTTGGATAATATGTCAGCAATCGTATGTGTTTGCTCAGTGTGGATGTGGTGATCCATCGGAGTGGAACGCACGCACTTATTTTGACAATAAAAATCATAGTTTAGTTGTTGGTAAACTATGTAATGTAACTGACACATGTTATAGTACACAAAGGGCAATATTTCTTAATAATGTCACACTTCAGGGCATATCTTGTCCATTGTGTTCCAATTCCGAATGTGAAATTATTTCATTTGATATCCAAGTATCCGCTTTCAAAGCAGTAACAACTTGGAAAAAAGATTCAATTAAACAAGCTGTGGAACAAATGAGTAATAGTTCATTTAACAACAGACCAATAGCTTTACCTGATGATTGGAGTACAAACTGGACTAATTATATTGATAAGAATTACGTTAATATTCAAGTTATTCATGGATCTTATCGTGTTGAAACATATACAGAAAAACCAACAATATCATGGTCTCAATTGGTTAGTACCATTGGCGAATATGTAGGGTTGTAAGTAACAGGAAGTAATAACAAACTACAGGATGTAATATTAAAAATTTTAATATTTTAGGTGGATTGGTGTTAGTGTTATTTCATTCATCGAAGTAGCAGAGCTGATATATCGTCTCATACGCCGTCATTTTGCCTAATTACATGTATCCAGATGAATCGGAAAATAGAATAATACGCTGGTCAAACTTATGTTCATTTTTAGATTGATTCGTATTGTCATACTGAAATTATAAATTATAAGTTAAGTCGTTGTTTTTTGTTATGTATCTCATTAAAACTTTAACTTTATCATTTAAAGCCACTTTTATTCTGAAATGTTTTTAGTTTTTGTTGCGTAAAATGCTATCATTATATCGATTTTCTACTTCATTCATGTGACTTTGAGCTAGTCCATAATTAATACGTATGAAAGAATTGCACACTTCAAGACGTAAAACTTGACATTGTGCTCATTTTAGAGAAAAGCTTTAATTTTGAGATAAAGGTGATGAGAGAGTCACATGTCCACTACAAAGATCATTCCTAGCTCTGTTGCACTAGAGATATGAATTTTTTGAAGTTTATCATATTCAGTGTGCTAGCAAAAAATATTCTGTGGGCTGTTGCAACGCGAAACTCACTTTTTGGAGGGCTTCCAGCAAAATACGAGATAACCTCAGTTTCGTCCCCTCTACTTTTAGTCGGATTGAAACTATTAAATAAACTAAGAAGTGCGTCGAAATTGTTCTCCGTTGGTTGACTTAGCAAAAAATACCAGATTTCCACTAATTTTGATGAATTTCAACGCACTTTTCAGCTCAATCAATAATTTCAATCACATAAACACACTGCTTGCAAAAAAAGGTAAAACAATCAATAAAAAATTAAATTTTAAGAATTTTACCTGATCTATAAAGACAAATCTAAAGATTCTTGTGTGATATATTAAGAGATAAAAGCCATGCAAAATTAGCAAGAAAGTGATTCTTTTTTTTAACTACTAAACAGAATTGTAAACATCGCAAAAAAACGTGAGATGCAATTCAGATAAACAATTTATAGAATATCCGGGACAAGATCTATTCCAGCAGAATGCTACGGGCAAAGATGCCTGGTTCAAATCCTGTTTGCAAAAAAATCTACTAATAATTAACTGATTTTTCGAATGAAACTACTGTTATCAAAAATTTGAAGTTGCTAAGTGAGATAATAGTCGAGGAATATGATACAATAAGAAATCTGAGTTCATCAATATACTTCAACAAACTCTGAATATTGCGAGAAAACGAGTGAAACGATTTTGTTCATGATAGTCAGAATATGAGTTTTGAGCGTTGCTGCAGAAAATCGAACGGTAATCAGTAATCAAATAGGCACAGATTGATCAATAACAAGAACAAACAGACTCCTAAAAAGTCTTCTACATCACTACTAGTACTAGATTTCGGATAAACTCGTACAAGTAATGTTGCCGAGTCAAAATTACACAAAGTCATATCTGACGAGGGAACGTTCCCAACTGATAAAGTTTTTAAAACCTGTCTCTGGAGGCCCAGCAGTACATCTCATATTGATATTCGGAATCAGCATGGTCGACTACCTATAGTCCACTAAGTTTCGGCCCGAAAGCGATTTATCAGTTGGAACGTCTCCTCACACAATCAGTGATATATCTAGTCTCAAGCTCGATCACGCCTGTGCATTCTTTGATAGCAATTTAGAGACGTTACAGAATTCACTTGAATCTGTACAAAAACTTGCGGCACACATGATTACACGGGACTTTGATACATCGGGAAAAGATCTTGTATCCGGTCTCAGATTGCCTCCACTAGAGATACGAACACAATATTTTCGCCTTCTACTATGTTTCAAAATCCTAAATGGGGCACTTCCCACTATTTCAATTGAGTCTAATTCGGTTAGATACAGCAAGAAGATCAAACAGGTTAGCGCAACATTCAGGACAGATAGAAGTTCCTTCTGCTTGAACGGAGACTGTTTTACAATCTTGTTTACATCATACAGCTCGAGATTGGACTCAAACCCTATCAGAAGCAGTTGTCTCATCTACCACTATTAGAAGTTTTAAAATAAATTAAGGCAACATCTCCACTATGAAAAGGGTAGCAAGGTTTATAGATACATCGGACTTTTTTTTGCTTTCCCAGTAGATCGGTTTGTTGTAAATGAAAGCCTTTAATAATAACCCACTTTGTGGATTATGGGATAATCAAATGTCATATAAGAATATACATTTTCAAATGACTGCAGTGACAAAGACAATGACTACCTGTTTCCACTTTTGTCAATAAATCATAAACGTTATGTTTCTACAAACCAGATAGCAGCAAAAAAAATAAAAATAACAACAAACAATCAAGGTGACGAGCTAACAGTTATACATGTGCAAAGCAACAATTTAGCCAACTATCTGACAAATTTCTAATTATCATTTTTTCTGATTATTTTTGAAATAAAAATCGATGCCCCGTGTACTTCTGTTTGCTGATGACTGACCAGCTGTTTCGGCATGTGCCTAAATGAATAAAAACAGTACAGTACGTTGTATCAACGAAAGAAATATAATGCACAGATCTGAAAAAAAATTTGCAAGGTAATATAAAAGATCAAGGCTGGCCATTCCACTTTACTCGGCCAACAACTTCATTCCGTAACATTTTGTGCTATTTTCTCATCTTTATATTTTTCGAATGAAAAGACGCCCGCAGCCAAATGAAAAGACGCGACGCAGCCAAACATGACGAAGAATATGCTTAACAAAATGACAGATCTCAGAGCTCTAGAGAATTCTCTTTTATGAAAGTATATCAGCATAACGTAGACATACACTTTTAAAATAGAAAACCTTTCTAATTATTAATGTTGAATTTTTCTGCTACATCTCCGTAATTAAACATCTTAGATTGAAGAATCTCAATTTCAGAGCAAAGAATAAAACGTTTCTCAAGTATGAGTGCAAGTACGGTCGTTGTGGTTTTTCGCAAGTCTTATATCAAAGATATTTGTCCGTAACAGGCATCAAAATCTACGCATGGTAAGAGCGCATTTTTAGGATCCTGACTAGTCAGTAGTTAACCATTCGATCAGTTATTTACAGTTATGGTGATTTCTTCAACCGCAAGCGATACACGCCCTGGTTGAAAATAGAAGTAAGGTGCCACTAATTTGAATAGAACGCATCAACCTGAATATGGAAAACCAGTGTTTAAGGTTTCAAAAAATCTTTTGAGAGAGAAAATGTTAAAATACTGAAGTGGGTGTGATTTTTCGAAAAATCGTTAGATTTTGAAAAAGATTCATAACTTTGTTTTTCGTTCTTTTCAATGTTCAAAACTATCTTTTTGCAGCATGATCCATTGTCTACACTCCGTTCTACTTTTAGAGTATCACTAATCGCGTACCATCAATCTTACGTCTCCAACGAAATCTATCATCACGCCTAAACTGCCGGTTTCGCTTGACTCTCATTTCTGAGACAACATTTTGAGTTAACTGTTCATATAAAGAATTACTGTATTGCTGTTACTTCAGATTTTTGAAAATACAAATAAGATTTTCAAAGATGTCTTGTGAAAAAATTGTGAAATTTGATTTGAATATGTGATGATACCGATGTGCCAAACAGTGCCTCTATTGTCATGTCGTAAGGAAATGAAAAAATTTTTTCGTTTACACTCGTGAAACAACGATGATAGAAACGAAAAAATAATGTCAAGTTTTAGCCATAAATAACGAAAAAAAAACGAATAACTATAGAAATATTCAGCAAACCTTCCCATCCATGTGCACCTTGTCATAGAAAATTTATCATCATTTCGCTAATATAACATTTCTTTTTCAGAATAATAATAATAGTTGAATTAAACTGAGTATTATATTCAGTGTTATCAATTCAAGGTGCGATGATCGTTTATGATTAGCTAACAATTATCCACAAATACAAACGAATTACATACAGTAATACCGGTAGTTAATAGTTTCAAATTAAATCAGTGTTTGTAATCGAATAGAAAACAAGAACTGTTAAGGGATATCGTATAACTAAACATTCTTATTGATTAGAGCATTCGCGATACTTCAGAAATGAATGACATTCAAAGAATACGATCAAAAAATTCAGTTTTTTTTGTCATCAAACTGGTTATATATTTTAACACTACTGTAGACGTAGATTATTAAAAAACTGAAAAAAAAATTGATTTCGTGTCTCTTTATAACGATATATGAGTTTAAAATGTGGTATAGATAAAACGTTATTTCAAAAATGCTTATTGTTCTTTCATTCAAATAGTAAGTGGCGACGTTTTCTATTAGGTTGAGGAAAAAGTTCGTGCGCCGTGTTAAAATAATGATTTTTTATATATTTTTTTTTGTGTTTTTGATCTGGTTTTGTGGCTATTATGAAAATTTATTGATTTTTTAAGATGTCTGATTACGAAATCACAAATTTTGAGCTTCACGTATTGCTGCGTCATTATTGGAGAAAGAATTTGGATGC